TCATGTTTCTAAAACACCAGAAGCCATTAATAAAAGTCTATTTTTATGGTCTGTGAAAACTTTGATTTAATTGCGGCCCAAACAAACTGCAACCCTGTTTTGTTTTTAATTGTGCTGAAAGGAAAAGAAAAACAGCCCTTATATGCCTGTATCTGGTAAAAAAAACAGTTATTTGCATAATCCAGGACACTTTTGTTTCTCTTGAAATGATTTGGCATTTTAAGCATTTTTCTATCAAGGACTTTTAGGATCAACTCTTCATCTACAGAGCACCATAAACATGCCAAATAAGCCAAAGGTCTTTAAAACTGTTGACAGTTTAATTCAAGTTAAAGTTATACTTTGCCAGAAAAGTATTTACATAATGACATGGTAAAAGTATTATTAAATTCCTCTGCAGGATTTTGTAAATACTTTAGCTCTTCCTGTTAGAGTGTTGAAAAAGCTTTTTTTTCAACATGCTGGTGGACACCAGCAGTGAGGGAAGCTGTCAAGCTGAAGAAGGAGTCTTATCAGGCTTTATCGACCTGTGGGACTCAAGAAACAGATATGTATCGGCAGTCAAAGCCGCAGGTGGCTAGGCTGGTCGCTGAGGCAAAAACTTCGGCGTGGGAAGAGTTTGGAGAGGCCATGCGAATGGCTTTGAAGCGATTCTGGTCCACAATCCGGCGTCTCAGGAGGGGGAAGCAATGCAGTACCAACACTATTTATAGTGGGGGTGGTGTGCTGCTGACCTCGACTCGGGACGTTGTATGTCAGTGGGCGGAGTACTTCAATGACCTCCTTAATCCCACCAACACATCTTCCATTGAGGAAGCAGAGCCTGGGGACTCTGGCTTTGGTTCTCCCATCTCTGGTCCTGAAGTCACCTAGGTGGTTAAAAAGCTTCTCGGTGGCAAGGCCCCAGGGGTGGATGAGATTCGTCCTGAGTACCTTAAGGCTCTGGATGTTGTGGGGCTGTGTTGGTTAACGCGGCTCTGCAACATTGCGTGGACATCAGGGGCAGTTCCCCTGGATTGGCAGACTGGGGTGGTGGTCGGTCTATTTAAAAAAGGGGACCGGTGGGTATGTTCCAACTACAGAGGAATCACACTCTTCCGCCCCCCTGGTAAGGTCTATTCCAGGGTATTGGAAAGGAGGGTCCGTCGGATAGTCGAATCTCAGATTGAGGAGGAGCAATGTGGTTTTCACCCTAGCCGCAGAACACTGGATCAGCTCTCTCAGCAAAATTCTGGAGGGTGCATGGGAGTTTGCCCAACCAGTCTACATGTTTTTTTGTGGATCTGGAGAAGGCATTCGACTGTGTCCCTGGGGGAGTCCTGTGGGGGGTACTCCGGGAGTAACAGCCCTCTAATAGGGCCTGTTAGGTCTCTGTATAACCTGTGTTAGAGCCTGGTCCGTATTGCTGGCAGTAAGTCGGACTCGTTTCCGGTGAGGGTTGGACCCCTCGCTTTGTCACTGATTCTGTTAATAACTTTTACAGACAGAATTTCTAGGTGCACCCAAGGTGTTGAGGGGATCTGTCTTGGTGGCCTTAGTATTGCATCTCTGTTATTCGCAGATGATGTGGTCCTGTTGGCTTCATCAGGGCGGGATCTACAGCTCTCACTGGAGCAAGTGTGAAGCAGCCGGGATGAGGATCAGTGCCTTCAAATCCGAGACCACAGTCTTGTGCCGGAAAAGGGTAGAGTGCCATCTCCGGGGTGGGGAGGATGTACAGTGGAGGAGTTTAAGTATCTTTGGGTCTTGTTCACGAATGAGGGGAAGATGGAGTGGGAGATCGATAGGCGGATTGGTGCAGCGTCAGCTGTGAAGCGGGCCATGTACCGGTCTGTTGTGGTGAAGAGAGAGCTGAGCCATAAAGCAAAGCTCTCGATTTACCGGTCGACCTACGTTCCTACCCTCATCTATGGTCATGAGCTTTGGGTCATGACCAAAAGAATGAGATCCCGGATACAAGCGGCTGAAATGAGTTTTCTACATAGTGTGTCTGGGCTCTCCGTTAGAGATAGGGTGAGGACCTCAGTCATCTGGGGAGGACTCATAATAGAGCCCTGCTCCTCCACATCTAGAGGATCCATTTGAGTTGGCTTGGGTATCTGGTTAGGATGCCTCCTGGACGTCTCCCTGGTGAGGTGTTCCAGGCATGCCCACCGGGAGAAGGCCCAGGGGGAGACCCAGGACACTCTGGAGGGACTATGTTTCTCGACTGGCCTGGGAGCGCCTTGGGATTCCCCCTGAGGAGCTGGCCCAAGAGGCTGCTGGGGAGAGGGACTTCTGGGCCTCCCTACTGAAGCTGCTACCCCCGCGACCCGAACCCCGGATAAGCGGAAGTAGATGGATGGATAGATGGATGTATGGATGTTTGAATATGAGTGTTTTGGGGGCATTTCATTATAGATACAGTTCCCTGACACAAATAAAGTGCCAGTCAGAAGTTCACATTAACTCATTAAGATCATGACTTTCCTGTAAACTTTAATGTGAGAACAAGAAACAAAAAAGGATAATATTTTCAATAGACTATAGATTATCTTTATTTCATCAGGGTCAAAATTATGCATACAGATACAAATAAAATCTCTGGCTGCTCTACCTACTGCCAGAAAATGTACTAAATAAAGAATGATCAAATTGTAGACATATGATGGACAAGTATGCCGACATGTCATGATTGTAGCACTGATGCCTGGTCTGATTACTCATTTGACACACTTGCTTAGCTCCGCCCAGTTCTCCTTACCCACTCATCTGATCAACCTGAATTAGTCACTTTGTAATGAACCTTGAGATAAGATTCAGATTATTTTGAGCCTTTGGTGAGAATTATTCTAATGTTCATGTGCCATCCGGGCTCTGACAACTAAACATGTCACCTACATATGACTTGGCTTTGTTGTCTGGATCGTGTGCTCGGTTCTGATCGTTCAACCTCCGATACATCAGCGTCTGAGACTTTCTGTGCAGCCACCAACACGTTGGCAGCCAGACGGCTGGAACCATCCTTTATCTCTGCATTCGGACTGAACTACAAGACCAGATTAATAGCTTGCACGTTCGTGATCATTTACTTCCGGAAAGACGTGGTCTGTTTGTGCACCTTGAATACTGGACCCTTCAGTTCTGAGTTTGACACTACATCAAATAAGATGTTGTAATTAAAAACTTTCTCAGTACATGAGTAATATTTAAACTTGATTGTTTTACTCTAAATGAATTTCTTGCAAGACTATTTATTTTATTTTTACTTGTGTACTATTGAACTAATACTACCCTTACTTGAGTATAGTTTTCTTCTACTCCCCCTGCTGTTATTTTATATCTACCCCCTAAAAAAGACATATAGGTAATCAAATTCTCTATACAGTAGAGAAACACAAGAATGAAATTGAACAAAGGACTAAAATATCACCTCCAATGACATGTTATTATATAGGGTTAACCGAAAATTAAAATTCAATGTGTATAATAATATTAACGTAAAGTCTCATGTCCAGTGAAATGACACATAAAAAGCAAAACAACCCATTTTTGCTGTTGTTGAAAACTCTGACAATTCTGAAGGAAATATAATGGCCGATTAAGTATTTCTTACTTATGATACAATAAACATTTATTTGAACAGACTTACATTCCCTCACATCTTCCAAGCACCATTGCATCGCTGGTTCAGAACCGTGGACAGCGCCTTTAGTCTGAGAATTTGCAGTAATGTGTTGCTTTTCCATCATTGAAGTTTATAGGCTGAATTGTTTTTTTTTAGAATATTGCTGCTCATGGAGATACCAACAAAAATAATGCAACCAATACTAGCTACCCTTGAATTATATACATTAAACAAAGCCTTAATCTTTCCGCATAGCCATCGAACCAATCATTATTTGTCATAGTGTCTCCTATTGTTGCAAATTGTTTCTAGGTATGAATGTAAATAAAAAGAAAAAAAAATCTATTGGAAAGCATTTTAAATGTGTCTTTCACTATTTTACATGTACAGTCAAGTGCAAAGTTTACAATCACTTCTATTATGCAAAGTTTGCATTTAAAGTCCAAACTAATTTGAACGTGTGAACTAAGTAAGCCCCAGAACAGGTTGTACATGAATCAAATGTTGTGCCCTTAGATTGCCTTAAGTAAAATCGTAGGTCAAATGTTATTTATACCCAAGGTTATGAACTGCTGACTAAATGGGACTTTTCAAGGAACAGCAGCTTTAGGATATAACTTTTGAAAACCCGAAAACCACAAACCCATGTGTAGTATTTATTTAAAGAGCACAATCAATGAATGTAATGCAGCAATATGTTCTAACATGTTTTGGTCAGATAAGACTACAGCTGATCATTTTGGCATCTATTTCTGGTTAAAGAAAAAAAAAGATTGATTTTCTTTATCTAAAAGTGGAGAAATGTACTTGTTACAACTACGCAAATAGTCAAAAAGAGAAGGTGCCAAAGGAAGAAAAAGATGTGGGGGTATATACAGTATACACTTTGATGAATGGTGATGTTTGTCAGGCCAATATCTGTAGAGAATTGTCAGAATAAAAAATGTTGTTAACATTTCTCAGTTGATTGTATTGATTGTTGATGTATTTCAGGATATCTGAAAAGAAAAAAGAAAAAAATAGAACACAAATAGAGACCGCTTTTTAGAATTTGTGATTGAAAATACAAGAAAAAAAACAAAACAAACAAAAACCTATCAAGCAACAAACAGAAAACGAATATTTCCTATTTCCTTTACAATTATGTACCGCTTGTGTGGCTCTCATAAAGGGATAACATAGTTATTATGTATGGAAAACTCCCAAAACGGGAAAAAAGTTTATGGGAAACAAAATACTAGTGTTTAAAGGTTATGCGCATTAAAAAGACGGCTCAGTTTCCTTTCCTTTCTCTTCTTTGTGGAATCATTTAAACCCACCCTTCTCACGCTTGGCCCCCTCTCTCCCCCACCCCTCCATCCCTCTCCTGCTATCTGAACAGAGAGCCCTCAGCTCTCTTTTGTTCAGTAGCGCTCAGCTGCTGGAGAGTTGAGCTCTGCTCCGACTGACGGTCATCTTCTCTCGTCGCGGCTCCTCCTTTCCAGAGGACGCGCGGACTTGGCTGGAGCTCCAGGCGCATTTCCACTCACATAAACGTCCTTTTATCGGCCTTTCTGCCAAAGTGGTGACCAGAACTGGCTCTTTTGGGTCCAACGAAGCGGACTCGGAGGCTTTAAAAAAGAATAATTACGCATCGTTGGATGGTTTAGCAGGTTGACTCTGTACCGCAACCACCTGCACTCTATCAAGGCGACAAAAGCTGCAGCATCACTCTACATTCCCAGCGGACTGAGCCCGACTCTACAAAGGTGAGGGCAAGTTTTTTTCATTTGTTTTTCGTTTTTTATGGTGTTTTTGGTTGCAGACTGCACGAGAAAAATGCAAGAGTATATTTTGCAGAGTTCATTCTGCTCCACTGAGATAAATTGGAAATTACTTGCAAAAAGCAAAACAGTTTTACTGGGATTACTTTTATGAGTTGGATATTAAGCAATTGCACTTTGCAGTTTTTGAAGGTTTCTTTTCACTACTAGCGAGACTCCATGCTTTAAAGAGGCATTGGAAGCTTAGACACTGAGAAGCTGCTATTATGATGTAATTTTATAAGCTTGCATTTTATTTCAATAAAAATCTATACTGAAAGTCGTTTCTCTCTAGTATTTTTTAACTAGAAATTTAAAAACATCAACTTTGCACAGGATTTGGATCAACCAACATCCCACCTTTTGTAGAAAAACCTACTTTCTATTCTAGAGCTTCAAACATACTCTGATTGGAGAAGAGTCTGTTAGCAGTAAAGGTGCCATAATCCGAACTGATTGCAAAACAAAAGGGGTAACCAAGGCTGAGACTGAGTCTTGGAATGCGCTTCAGCCAAACAGGTCCATGAAGGAATTTTGTCAGAAGAAACTTTATAGCAGCAAGAGGCTGCAGAATATCAAAGAGCAAGAGGTCTGAGCAGCGACATTCTGCAGCTGCAGGGCTTCAATGCTATTCAGTAAAAGATGTTGCTGGGGATGAAAAGAAAGGAAACTGTGTTGCTTTGTGCAACCACCCTGTTTTAATTTTATCCACTGCAGGGCAGCATTTCAGATTTTGGATGGCAGAGTATGGGGAAATAGAGCAGAGTTTTTCATGACCCCATGGGAAATTAAGCAGTGATCCATTCAGACAGTTTGTGGAACGGTTTCTAGCCCTGCTTTTTTTCTCTAGCCTTATGCTTGCTGCGTGATGAAAGTATTTGAACACACAGGGATGCACACGCAAAGTCATCCAGGCAGCCTTTGCTGGAGTTTGGGAGGTGCTGCCCAGGGGCGTTGCTAGGCACAAAGCTTTACTGGGGCACTGGCCCCCATACCACATATGCCCCTCCTTCCATACACAAATACAGACAAGCACACTGCCCCACCCTGATAAATTCCTACCAAAATTACCAGTTGAGATATTAATGAGTGTAAGAGCATATTTGTTTTAACAAACATGAACGTTTTCAACATTGCAGCTATAAAAAATAAGACATTACCAACTTTAAAAATAAAAAGTTTCCTTATACACATTCTGAAGTAATCATTAATTCCTAGAGTTTTAGTTCAGGGGAAAGTTTAACTCAACCTGAACTAAGTTTTTCTTTTATTTTTTGAGCATTAAAGTGTACCTCCTATTTTTCATTTTTGCAAAGCGGTCAATCACTAGACTGTGACTCAGCTTAGAAAGTTCTTCCTTTTCAACTGATAAAATAGCAAGATGATGGAGCCTGTCTTGTCCCATTGTGCACCTCAGCCAAGTGTGGATCCTTCTCAGCACACTGAATGACCTTTCACAACTACAGCTGTAGTCTGGGATTGTGAGGGAGATCTGGATGACCTGTGTTAGTCTTGGGAACATGATGTTATCAAGCAAGTTGAAAACACACTGCATATCCTTGATGACAAGGCTTATAAAAATGATAAAAAGCTTTCAAACCATTTTGAATTAAATGAACGTTTTTTTTACTCCAAATTTGTCCTGGGGATGGTGGGACAACTTCACTTGTCTAGGACCATCATGATTTCCCCCTAAGTCACAAATGTCCCCTTCTTGTTTGTGGAAGCTGGTTGTTGCTCCCTCATCACCTTCATGGTCCTGTCTCTCTCCTGTCTCTCTTGTCCTTCACCTGTCTCTTGCCCGTCAGTCTCGCCTCCTCCTCCCTTTCCTACTCCAGCACCTTCATTCTCATTCTCTACAGCGAACATTAAAAAACGTAAATTTATAATTATGTAAATATCTATCATATTGCTTATAACGTTCCTAATGTAACTGGTTAGCTTAAATCACTAATTCATCACGGGACCTTACCTCCCTCTCTCATCTTGTTTTACTGCTTCCCTGTCTCTGCTTCGTGTGAGGAATTTCCTGATATCCAGTAATTTTCAGTTAGTAGCCTATAAATCATGTGGTTTCACTGGGAAAATAATAAAATTGACAGGTAAGAAACGTTACCAGAACTAAAAATGCGTCGCCGCCGCACAGTGTCCCATCAACTCAGCTGAGAGCAGCGCGTTAATTTACCTGCAGTTCATGCAGTGACATGCGCTGACGTGGGGGCGCTAATACATCCTCAATTTGGATGTACGCATTTGAGTAGAAATATACGTCTCCTCCCATTATCTAAATTGATGCATTAAAAAAATGTGTCACTGTTGCAAATATTCATGAGATTTATACTGGGGCACAGCTCATTTATACTGGGGCACATGCCCCAGTAAATGGGGTCTGGTGACGCCGATGGTGCTGCCCATGGTTAAAATTGATCTAGAATTAATTTTCTTTGATAATCTGTGAGCCATTAGCAATGCCAACAACTTCTATTTTGCCTGGGCTTGTTATACTTGTGCTTGGCTTTAATGTAGGCAGAGGGCTCCTTAAAGGCGGTTTAGAACTACAAACCTACTCTTCTTAACAGGTCAGTCTGTTTTTTGGGACCTTTATATATATGATACATCCAAGCTGCTGCTAGTTACTCATTAGTTTGAGTATATTTTGTGAAGTATAGCTCTATATAGAACTATATTTGTATGAATCTGCCTCCATTTAAGACTATCCTCCCCTTGTGCTATCATGCAAGGCTCAGATCATCTTTTGTGTTATCCCTCTTGTCCCCTTCTTTCTTTCATAATCTTGATGTTTTTGGACTACCGGTTATCACTCTTGCAGCATGGCTCAACAGAATGAAAAGGTGATCTTTTCTTCTACCTTTGCCAGTTTGCTGCCTCTATTTTAATATTTTGTGGGAGATGAAGCGTTGCAATGGATGAATAGTATTGCTTCAGAGAGAGAGGCTCTCAGTGGCTCCGGTCCAAATGTGGTCCAGGCCAAAAACATCTCTAAAACGTTGTCATTACATCTCAGGAACAATGGAATGGGAGAAAAACGGGGACACAAAAGGAGCTTGGCAGCTTGACGGGATTATCTGTGTCTTGCATAAGGTTGCGTTTGCCACATATTCCAATAATGTGTCTTTTCCGGCTGGCTGCACTTGGCTTAGTGCAGACACTTGTAGCTCAAGCTATAATTTGCAAAAGATTCTCTTGTACACTTGAGTTGCGTCCAAACAAATTGGTAAACTGGGTTTTTTTCCAGCATGTTTTGCTGATGTAAGACATTAATATCCCAACAATGAACCTCCTGCTATACTTAGATCAAACAAAAGCCACCCTAGCATGGCGACTGATAAAAAAGGATAGAGAGCAGCTTAGCAGTATTTAAAAAGAAAGTCATTGAGTTTATTCCAGCTGCTGAATTGGAAAACCAAGTTAAAATCCCATCAAATTCACCTTTCTTTATAGTTATCTCTACTTTTGATCTAGTTCCAATCCTCTAATCAATTTAATAAAAAAGCAAACAAACAGAACAAGCATGTTTAAAATTAAAATGCCAAAGTGTCAAAGATTAATGATATCCAAGTTTACGATGCACTCCTTCAAGAAGCCTGCTTTATGTATAGACATGTGTATCTGCCCAATATGGCCTACGATGACTCTAATGCATATGACCACATGCAGCCCAGAGTTTTGCAGCCAACAGCCACTGATATCTGGTTTATTGCACTCCAATAATGTCCTCCAAATCTGGCCTCATGTTATGGTAGCAAAGACCCTTTTGTGTGCAAAGACTGGGAAACTGTTATAAACATCAGCTCCTACCAGCTTGTCCTCCAGGCCCTCCAGAGAAAACCAAAGGAAGCTGTGAGGGTCTTTGGAAATCCATAAAAGTAAAAGTAGCCTTTAGGACTAAAACCTGTCTCATTCTGTTGTATGTGTTAGTTCTACTATTAACTGGCAGGTCCTGGATTTCATCCAACCATCAAGTTTCATTTAATTGTGTGTTTTTCAGTGCTTGTTTGTATGGAATCACCTCATGATGTACAGACAGAATGATTTGGGTTTTTATACCGCGGTGACAGAGGAGAGGGGATGCCAGAAGATTCCTGCAAAGAAGGACTCCTTTCCAGACTTAGATAACCCTTATCCAATTAGGCAGTGAAAGCCCACGCAACAGCCCTCATGCACTCTATTCAGTCCTGCTTCTATAAACAATCATGACATTACATGCTTTGAGTTGCCAGCCAAGGCGACGTAGGTTTGGAGAGAGTAGCTTACCAGTGAAGCTGTGATTCAGTTACAAGTTTGTATCACTACATTGATGAGGTCTGCACCTGTCCTTGCAGGAATACGTTGCTTCTATGAGTGACAGCTTTCGGTCCTTTCGAACCTTGGCAGCACTGAGTGGAAGGAGCTAAATTGGAGAGGGCTGCTTCTATTTTTGTTTTGGCTAAGAATAAAATAGCTAGGCAAGGCATTTTCAACCAACTGCTGCACATACAGCCAAGCAAATGATCAGCGCAGCTGAGACCTCATTGGTTAGCGGCTGAGCACACAAAGCAAAGGAGATGCAGAGGCAGGAAAAAAATGTAGCTTAACACAATCCCTACAGACCCTTCTCGTTAATATTCATTAATCACCCACCTCCAATTCGCCCCAAGGCCCCCGCTCTGCACCCCTCTCCCACTCAATGTATTATTCAAAGGTAGCATTTCCCTATTAAATACTATTAATAAATAATTACATCTGGTAACAGTTTTGTCTGCTGAATTAATAACAACTGAGTATATTTTGCAGCGATTGGTAGAGTTGTTGAGGTGCTGATCTCCTCCCTCCTCTCTCTTTGTCTCGCCTCTTTTGTTAATGTCAGCTGGCCTGTCAGTTGATCAGAATGGAACTCCGTCTGTCTCTCTATCAGTCACCTTCTGCAGCGCGCAAGAGGAGGAGCA